CGTTTCTCAGCCTTGGCACCTTTAAGGTGTGCGGACTTCAACTCCCAGAATTCTGGACTTCGGCTCCCAGCAAGCTGGCTGGGGAATTCTGGGAGCTGAAGTCCAGAATTCTGGGAGTTGAAGTCCGCACACCTTAAAGGTGCCAAGGTTGGGAAACATGATTACTGTAGTCTATTCAAAAACCTTTCATTTGGGATGGGTTCCTCCCGTGCTCTGGTGTGGGGCAATGCTACGTTCTGGGGATCTCACCGAAGGCCAGCAGGATCGAGGCCCTCCAAACCTTGGGGGGAATGCTGGTCCTTAGGGTAGGTGCTGTGACAAACACTGCCTGGGTCCCACCAGGTGAGGCTGCTTCATAGAAGGGATGGCCTCTGTGTCCGATCTCCTGGGGCGAGTAGAAATGATTGGAGGCGAATAGCGATCATGGTCTCCAATTGCTCCTGCAAATAACGGTGAAAGGCGTTGGGTTGAGGTGAGTTGGGTTCTCTTACTGCCCCTTGGTGTAGGGAGACCCCCCCCAACTCTGACCCCAAGGAGTTGCACGAGAGGTCCCTGCCCTTGAGGAGCCGACAGACCACTTCTTTCGCCAGATGTTGGACAGCATGATCAAGAAACCCCGTCCCACAAGGGCGGAAAGCAGCGACGTGGCCAACGCGGTTTTGGATGGGGCTGACTGCATCATGCTGTCTGGGGAGACGGCCAAGGGGGCCTACGTGGTGGAGGCTGTGCGAATGCAGCATGCGGTAAGGCAGCCCTTCCCGTTTGGAATCGGAAGCCAACTTCCAACACGTGGGTAGGAGCATCGCCATGACAGAAGAGGAAGAAGGGAGGAGGGGGGAAGAGGAAAACAAAAGTGGGGCCTAGGAACGCAGGAGTCTTAGACACTGTGCAGACCCATGATGGCAAGGAGACAAGACTCCTTGTCTTCCTCTCCTTGCGCGCAGATCGCCCGAGAGGCTGAGGCCGCGATGTACCACCAGCAGCTCTTCCAGGAGTTACGTCGCCTGACGCCCCTGAGCCAAGATCCGACCGAGGTGACCGCCATCGGCGCGGTGGAGGCCTCATTCAAATGTTGTGCCGCTGCCATTATCGTCCTCACCACATCGGGCAGGTGAGAAGAGTCGGCGAGCCAAAGATAGGGTCTCCTGCTTGCCGGACCGGGGTGGGGGGACCCGCTGGACGGCTGGCAGCCGCACAAGGTGGCTGCCGTGATGGAGGCGAGCATTTGCGGGTCGATAGAAGTGGCTGTCGTCGTGGGGTGGCGAAGATGCCATCCAGGTTCCTCCCTGACGTCCAGGATACTTCTGGTTGCGGGTGCACGGCGTGCTCCCGTCGCGTCGGTTTGGTGGTTGGTGCCCAAGACCCCTTCCAGCACCCCCATTTTCCCATCCATACACTGAGCCAGCAAGAAGGCAGCTACAAAGTCCCGGGTTCGAATTGCCCACAAATTTGGCCGCAGTGATTCCGTTTCACTTCCCCTCTGCATCTTCCCCCGGTTCAGGTCTGCCCAGATCCTCTCCCGCTACCGGCCCCGGGCTCTCATTATCGCTGTGACCCGTAATGAACAGGTGGCCCGCCAGACTCACCTGAGCCGCGGTGTTTTCCCGGTCATGTGGCACGGCGCTAAGCAGGACGTCTGGGCGGAAGATGTCGACCGCCGGGTGCAGTTTGGGATCGAGATGGGTGAGTTGGTAGAGCTTTGCTCTTTCCAGGAACGATTTCTGCCCTCAGAGACTGTTGGGCCTTTTATTAATTCTGTGGCTGGCTGATATCCCACTGGTACAGCCCTTTCAACCACCTGTTGAATTAACATGCTTCTCCAGCAGATATTAAATGCATAATACGCTTCATGGAAAGCAGGGTCCTCTAACTCATCTCCTGTTTTGAAGGACTTAAGAGGGGACACGCGTTCACCCAATATGAATCCCATGGATTATTCTAACTTTTATCTATCTATCTATCTAT